GCAGCCTTGGCCTTTGCCGGCCCCTTCTTTTTGCTCTGTGGCTTCTTGTTCTTTGAAGCTGCCTTCGGCTTCGCATGGGATGCATCGGCCGAAATCTTCCTCTTTGCACTTGGCTTAGCCTCTGCAGCCTCCGCTTCCAAAGCAGTCTCGACCCCCTTTTCCAACGAAGTCTCGTCCTGCTCCTCGTCCTCCGCAGCTTCGGCGTCTTTGTTGGTCTCCTCGTCTTTCTCGGCAGGCTCATCTTCCTCCACAGGCTCCTCCATCTTGCGCTTCTTTGAAGATGTTGAAGATGCATCGGGAGCCTGCTTGCCATGAAGCCGAACAGCAGGCTTGCTCCCTCGACCTCGACCACGGCCCTTGCCCCCTCGAGCAGCAGGCTTCTTCAGGACACCTCCACCACCACGGCCACGTCCTCTTCTGCCACGACCACGGCCAGTGGCACCGCCATCGGCATCATCCAGCAGAAATTGCTTCTTGCGGTCGATCGTTTCCTGCATTGCAGTTTAAATATTATATTATATATATAATATATTGATTTATTTATTTATAATAATATAATGAAATATAAACATCAGCTATATTCTAGGTTCCATATAGTAGGGTTTGGGATTTATACGGGACATTATGCAATCCCTGTCGCTATATAAATCCCCCATGAAAGACCTTGAAGTTCTCCACTGAGAACTCTTCCGAGGGCTTCTGCTCGATCTCCGGCAGCTGCTTGGCATCGGCGCTGACAAAGGCTTGGGCCACTTGAGTCCCCTCGTACTGCAAGGTGTCGGTGTTCGAAGGGTCTGCATCTCCTTATATATATATATACACCACATGAGTGCATGCATGGATCTGCAAGATCAATATCATGGGTGAATTTATTGGTGTATAATGAATCGCACATGCAAGCAGCCCTTCTGCGCAGAATCCATCTGGGCTTTCCCGGCCAAGATCCGAGCAGCACGCTTCTCAGCAATTTGCGCCCTCGGAACATTTGGGATTAATAGGCAAGATTCGGGCATGGGGTCAAGATTCAGACTATCGGGTTTAAGTTTTGCAACTTTGGGGTCTATAATACAGGGTTCAAGGTTCAAGCCGCTGGGATTTTAGTGTGGGTTCCGGGTATTGCGTTTTAGATTTCTGGTTTCGGGCTCTATATTAATTGGGGGGCTGCTAGTAAATCAATAACCTATAGGCTTGACTTAGTAATTATTATTATTATTTCCCATATGGAGTTGCTAGGATCGACCGATATATCCTTAAAATGTCTTAGCCCAGCAACCATATATAGCTTGCAATGGCAGCAGTTCCCCTGTTGTTTAGTGACAAGAGTTCTGAGGTTGCAAAGGTCGTAAGATTGTTCTGGAGGTCTTCGAAACCCAATAAGAAACCCAATGGGGCTGTAAGACAGAATCGTCCCGACCTAGCTCATTGCTTATCTGGGATTGTATAGGGTTATATTTGGCAGAAGTTATCATATTTTTATATATAGGAGGTTCACAGGCACCTTAAGACCCCCTCTGTAGATGGGCATGGGAAAGAGACACAGCTTGTGGCACCAAACCGCGACACCAAACCATGGAATTGATGTTCGACCTGCCATATGGACGAAAGCCTTTACATGGCTATGATTTCGACCTCGCGTCGCTTTTGCTGGTGCAGGATTCGTGGATTATTGGGGAAGAAGTCGTATTCTGCACGACAACAGCCGATTATTGGCATTCAAGCACTGCGCTTTGGGCTCCTGAACATCCCGGAAGTGACAGCGAGCACCACATGCAACGCCCATGCAAGTCACCCATGCAGTATAGACTTCAAGAAACTATATCCTTTAAAATATATAGGTATAAACCCATCGAGGCCAACACCCTGGCTAAACCCGAACATGGTTTCACATATATTAACAGACTAAATTCTGGTACAACTTTATAGCATGAAATCCTATATCATAGGCTTATATAGGGTTGAATCTGATGGATGCCGAGATACTTCAACTCCTGCAAGCGTGCAATCTTCGCCGACAGCTCAGGAGCGACGGAGGACCCACGTCGCTGCAAGGTTTGCGCGGAGGCTCTTGGGGCACTGCTGGTCAGTGCAGGGGCTTCACACATGGACATGTCATGTGCAATGTCAGCACACACCACAGTATGACAGGCAGGGACCACAGGACAGGAGGTGGGCACAGATACCGGGCCACTCTTGGACGCATCCATTGTTGGAGTACTGGGAGCCTCTGACCTCAAGCACACATCACTTGGAAGCACGGGACAGGAAGCTCCCGAGCTGAAATCGCCACTCGGCAGAGCAATTGCAGAGACATGGCAAACGAAGGGACGGGAAGCATCCGAGCTGAAATCTTCACTCAGCACACTTGAAGACACATCACTGGGAATCACGGGACCGGAAGCTTGCGAGCTGAAATCTTCACTCGGCAGATCACTTGCAGATGCATCCTTGGGAATGACAGGACATAAAGCTTCTGAGCTGAGCCCGTCACTCGTTGGATCACTTGCTGGCACATCACTGCTGATCACGGCACGGGAAGCTTCTGAGCGGAGCCCGTCACTCGGCAGATCACTTGCTGACACAGCACTGCTAATCACGGCATGGGAAGCTTCTGAGCTAAAACCGTCACTCGGCAGAGCACTTGCACACACGGGAGGGGAAGCTGTCGTGCTTAAGTCATCCTTTGGCACACACACATCAGAAGGACCCACATGCATCACAGGACAGCAAGCTGCTGCGCTTGCTAAGTCATGACTGGCATCAGGGGGCCGAGCTGAAGGCATATCACTTGGGCTCGCAATAGAGGGAGCCGGTAGGCTTGGCACAGCACTTGCACACTCATCACTTGCAAGCATGGCATGGGAAGCTCCTGAACCTGCGCTGTTTGACATGCTGGATAACAGCTGAAAGCATTCTGCTCCCCCATCGAATAAGTGATCCGGCACCGTGTCTGCCTGCAAGCCGGTGCAAGCAGAAGGCCACGCACATGATTCCATGTTTCGCAAGGGAGTCGCAATAGTCCCGACATGACATGCACCCACAATCTCTGCATCATCCTTTGATGTACTCGCTGATGCAGGCTCTTCGGGATCGAAGTATGATGGCAGGAGAGGCGACGGTGGGCCATGAGAGCAGTGCGAAGCCGGGCTTGCAGGGGCAGAGTAGTGCACCGTTACATCATCTCTACCAAAGAAGCCATATGGATCGTCGTCTTCTGGCCCAAGATCAAAGACCTGCGCGGGCCAGGGTTTAGGGGTTCGTTACGCATTTTGAGGGGTGTAAAGTTTAAAGGGTTTAGCCGTTTAGTGTTACAAACTGAGTGTCTACATGTGTGGAATCCACAAGCCCATAATAAATAAATTTAGGGGACACAAAGCCACGACTTAGAGTCTGTATTGATCTGGCATGTATATGTGCACTGCATGCATGTGTGTTATCTACATGCACTTGTCCTGCATGCGTGCTAGATAAGCCAGGCCACCGGAGCCAAATCGTCTGCCCCGACCCCTTCTGCAGGTGTCGGCCCTGCTTCTTCTCCGTCTTCTCCAGCTGCAGCGTGGCCCCCGGCTGGATCCACTCCATCAGCCTCGTATATTATATAGATCGACCAGCATACACTATATATATATATATATATATATATATGGAATTAAAATATATTGCACACAGAAAACAGCTATAGACTTCAAGTAAATGACGCTCGCAGTAGAGGAATCATCTTCTGCCGGTGCAGCATGCCCCCCGTGTCCATCATGCCCACCAGGCCCTGCAGGTGCCCCGCCGTGTCCATCAGGCCCTGGTCCACCCCCAACATCTCCATCAGGTCCTGGAGGTGCAGGCATTATTACCGCAGGCCCGGCAGGTCCGGCAGCCGGAGGAGTGTCGTCATCATCTCCATCTCCTCCTTCATCCGGGTCCCAGTGTTCAACCATGAGATCCATCAGTGGCTGGAGCAGTGCATCCTAGGCAGTCTTGCTAATATAGGCATGTAGCCTAAATTATCATGCCAGCATGCAGGCACATATAAAACTTTCTGCACATACAATACCCAGCGTCCCGAAAATTGGTCTGCCCAGTTCTGAACCGTCTTATGGCCCAACTCGTGAGCCGCTTGGCACCCCAGTCGTCCACGTACTGGCTCACAACATCGGGCTTGGCAGTCAGCAAGTCGTGGATTCGTTTCACCTCCAATGTGTATATATGCTAGAATGATCGATGTGGATATTATACATCGTGTGTATATTACTTGTACCCTGCATAACCTGTGTAGCCTGTTATACATGAATACCCTGGCCTCTGCTCGCAACCACCCTATGGGTGGGGACTTGGGGACCGGAGAGGCCACGACCCAAAGCTCCAGAACTGCATGGATGGCAAAGCGGTTTGCTCGGAGGCTCGACTTGTTTGCCACGCCAGTGGCACGTGGACTGTCCCATATCAAGAGCTTTCCATTGCGGCGCATTTGCCTGGGAATTTAGGACATATAGGGGTTTAGGGCTTCAGGGTTTAGGGCTCAGGGTTTAGGGCTCAGGGTTCAGGGTCCTTTAATTTGGTTTCAACCATATATAATATAGTATACTGTAACTTTATTGTATGATAATATGATACAATTAATTAATATAATATACAATATATATGAATGAATGCGACCGCCCGTCTGAATTCTAGACTGAAAGATGAAGTCTTGATGAACATGTGCACATATATATATATATGCATGTTAAATAAGTATATACATTAATTATGCATATTTATGATATACAGAGATAGAGAGAGAGAGAGAGAGAGAGAGAGAGAGAGAGAGAGAGAGAGAGAGACGGGGCCTATGGGCTGTGCTTCCTGGGTTATAATCTCATATGATATACTTTATATATATAGTACATATATATTTATATATATATAATGTACCGATCGAAGCCAAAGTGCTCACGCAGGACGGCATGCTGGTCCCAAAGGTTGGACAATCCATCCTTCGCTGGCCAAGATGCAGGCCACCTGCCCGCATTATTGCCCGGCGCTGCATCTGCCATGGTCGTCTAGAGACAAAGAACTTGTTGCCAAGCCGCAAAGCCAGGATGCAAGCCAGCAGGGGTGTTTTAAATACGTACTGTATCTGAAAAGACATCTAGATTATTATCGCTATAGACTTCAGCCCTTGCAAGACAGTTGGTCAGGAAGCAATGTCGAGCCAATCAAGGTTGCTGCATCACAGCTCGGACTTGTGAGTCCATGTTGACGTGAAACATGAATGCAATTGACCGGCAACACAGTGCAAACAGACTGCATCTGCACTTGCGATCTTGCGGCTCTACAGTAAGTGCAGACATGGCATGCAGTGAACCACACATCGATGCCTGGGTGTGGATCCAAGGATGTTTGGCCACGGCTCACCTGATCAAGGGAAGCTGATGGAAGAGAGCCATGCAACATGGGGCTTATATAGTATACTCCTGGTCAAGGTTTTCGCAGCGATGCAGGCAGAAGGGGTTGTCAAGCAGGGTCTGAACATTAAGGCTTTCCATGGCTTGCAAGTCAGGCACGATGTAGCTGCAAAGATATGGCTTACAAGTTGAGGCAGCAATGCACTGCCAAAAGATCCAAGCGCCTGGCCTGTTCAGTCTGCTGTCGAAAGAAGATAGCCGCCTCGATCCAGGCAACATGCGTGCATCTTACGAAGGCTAAGTTAAGGAGGTTAACATCTACATTTTGTGTATTATCTAATATAAATAATATATATATATATATATATATTATATATATGTTATTATATATTATATATTGTTGTACATTATATTATTTATTCACTATATATATGGGTATACCACACATGAGAGCCGACACTTATTACAACACATATTAAACTTTGTTGCAGTATATTTGCTTATTATCTGTTATATATATATATATATATATATCCAGACATTGCACATGCGGGGAAACTCCAGTCGGTGACTGGCCTGCAGATGTAGTCGATTCCAGAAACTGCTGTAGTCCCGTGAAGCCACCTTTCATCGCAGACAGATGGCCACCGTGCACGGATCACACACACACACTACGAAGTGTTGCAGCCAGGGGAAATTCCTGCCACAAGATGTCTATGTGCTATAGCCAGATCGACACACGCAATACCAACTGTTGTGGCCTCAATGAAGTCGTTGCTATACGCAAGACATGCATGTCAGGAAAACTACAGTCGGTGCCTGCTGATGTGGCCGATGCCAGGAACTGCTGTAGTCCCGTGAAGTCACCTGGCACGAAGATTGTCGGAATCCATGAGAAATATGATACATAAATTTCGATGCATGAGAATTACAAGCACACTTCTATAGTCTTATAACATATATCATACACATGTTTTTCCTTGTAGCAAATTACTTCATCCATATATATATATATACACCATGAAACTGTAGTCACTGTACCTTGCCTGCTGATGTAGTCGATGCCACAAAGTGGTGTAGTCCGCAGAATTTGCCTGCAGACGAACTGCATGGAAGGACTTTTATCGATCGACATATATATATATATATATATCCGGAGTGCCTGGATGGCGTGCTGCTGTATAAAAATTGGTGCAAAGTTTGCCTGCACGCAGCGAAATGCATGCAATGGCTACATATATATATATATATATATATAATATAGCACCGGACTGCCTGGCTGGCGTGCTGATGTAGTCGATGCCACAAAGTGGCGTAGTCCACAAAGTTTGCCTGCACGCAATATGTGTATACTATATTATAGATGACGATCATGACCACTGGACTGCCTGGCTGGCCTGCTGATGTAGTCGATACCAAAAACTGCTGTAGTCACAGGAGTTTACCTGGCACGATGCATAATCCGAACATGCATGACCAGATCTGTTGCAGACTGTATATTCTCCGTGGATCCCAAAAGCCTGCACAGCATCATATGATGACCGATTCCGATGCACGTGGCATGCCTGCACTGTTTCACACTGTGGGCTTTGAACTCACATGGCCCTATACCCTCCCACCCCGAAGCTGACAGAACATTGGATATGACCTACCACTGCACCTGAGCACAGGCCACAGAAGAGCTCACCTGCCATGTGCACAAAAAGTATGCAAAACAGACACATGCGCTCAATACAAAACAAACATATGCACTTCCATGTCACTTGCAGTGGGACCCCTCACTCATGCACTGGCTGCATGGCCTGTTCTCGTGGCCCAGGGAAGCAAAATACCTGCACGGCATGAACATGCTCTAATGGAACCCAGTTAACCAACACATGGCAAAGCCCCCCACTAATATATCCACGGCTACTTTGACAATAAACCCCATCATGCAGTGGCATGATGGGCCTCATATACAATATCAAGGCAGATCGAGCATCACATGGTATATGTACATACAAGGTTCAAGCTGATGCACGACACACATGCAGTTCTGTAGTCTGAACTTTGAGTCGCATATGTATATATATATATATATACGACTCTATTGCTTTTCTATACATACACACTAGGAAAATTATACATTATTTGTGTGGGAAATTGTATATATATATATATATATACACACCTATAGTATGTGTATGATAATATTATATATATATATATATATATATATGCACCTTAATTCCACACCCCTCTCTGCATATTCCGGCCTCCGACACGAAGAAGTAGAGGAGGAAGAACAATAGCCACATGCAAGGCCTGCATCTACAGATCAAACCGTAATGCATCGAATATAGAAACCACTTTATGTAGATTTCAGACACAGGCTGGAAATGATCTGCACATGGCGCATGCCTGTTTCATTCATGTCATGACCTGCCCCGACCAGCCTTATACCGATAATGAGTCGGGCGCCCTGCGGCACAGCAGCTGACCAACCTGCGTGGCGGGTACATCATGTATATATATATATATATTATGTCAGCATGCAACTTTAATGCATTCAGCAGCTGTCTGCATGCATGGACCCCTTTTCATGTTCCGGCGCACCCCGACATGAAAAGCTGCATACCCCAGTCCATGTGCTGCCCAACCAGAAACGGTTTGCGCATCATCCTCTGGAGCACATGCGTAACCCCATCTACCCAGGAAATGCTCAGCAGTCCAGGTCATATACTTCCGCCACAGAGCGCCTCTTGCCTGGGCTGCAGAAAACATGGAGCTGCATGGAATGTATTATATATCTGTATCATACAAACTGAAATTTGGAATGTGCACATGCACACATGCGGATTGGTTGCAATGGGAGCGGAAAAGCGACTTGAAGTGAGAGCATATGCCACCTTGTCGAATGTTCTCCACCACATCACGAATGAGGGCATCTCCCGTGGCTGGCTCACCCTGCAAAAGTACTCTGTTTTCGGAAGCAATCAAGACGCCCACTCATGCACACAAGTTCTTCCTTAATGCATGTCTGGCCTGGTAGATCGCTTTCGTGCAGGCATACCAGAAGGTATCCTGCATCTTCACAAGTCCTGCAAAAGAACCGGGGCTTGCATGTATAGGGTTCTGAAACAGCAGGGTTTTTTACCTTGACGATAAATAAGTTTCAGGAACCCAGAGTCCTTCTTCGTGGCATATGCTTAGCCCTTCAACAGTGCAACCTGTAAGGGTTGCTACAGCTGTGTAGGCCATGGCGAAGCCAACTGGTACGGCTCAATGCCAAATGAAGGATCTTGAAATGAAAAGCTGCTGCCACCACACATGCATGCATGCGGAGACTGCCAATCGATCACTGATTCGTCGACGATCAATACAGTCATGCAGGCACAGCACATGCAATGCAGGGGAAGCGGGCGCACCGCAGGATCACGGAGCCACCCACCAAGAGGCCAAATCCATGCAGTGTCAAGCAAAAGCAATTGTGCTGAAGTGAAAAGCCTTCCTGCATCCTAGCTGCAATCAGCGGAATCCCTGGCCAGATCACAATATATATTAATGATATCCTATTTCACTGCAAACATGCACACATGCAGCATGTGTAGCATGCCTATTGTGGAATATATATATATATATATGTATATATATATATATAACTCAATATTGTATATATTATATATACAACACATATATATATATATGGTATATTCGGCCTATACTCATGGGCTGGTGCCACATGCAGATCGTTGAAGGTACCGTTCACTTTGCAAGAATGTACTCTATATATATATATATACAGAGTCACGGCATACGTGCATGGATTTGATGAATATGATATACACATGCATCGATCTGCATATATCTCGAAAGAGGTGTGAACTCAGACAGTTCAGGCATGAATGTGTGCATGCGAAGCACCAGCAAACGCTCGATCAAAAGCTGCATCAGGAAGACCTGCGATACAATTTTTGCTCTGAAGACTCCTGCCCCACTAAGCTACCCCAAGAAATTTTGCTCTGAAGACTCCTGCCCCATTTAAGCTACCCCAATAAATTTTGCTCTGTTGTTCCGGTCTGAGAACAAGAATATTGCTCTCAGGTTTCGCCCTCTAATGTTATGAATTCTGCTCTTCCGGCTCTTTCCGCTCTCTGGGTTTGTTTTCGCGCTTTGGAATAAAAAGCAATTATTTCCAGGAGTGCAAATTTATTCAAGCAAAGGGTGCTGCAGGTAGCACTATCGTTATCGCTATCACTGTCACTATCCGTACTACTATCAGTCTTACTAGTACATTACTCCTACCATTACTCTCTAAAAGCTATTGTTACGGTGACAGTAACAGCAATAGTAATGGCCCGGCCCAGCCCAGCCCAGTGGGGCAACTGGGGCAAGAGGCACGTCTGGTGGGTTTCGGTGCCCCACTTGCGAACAGGAATGTATGGCTGCTGGCCTCTGTCTGACTTTGTGTCGGGGGGGGGGGGGGGGGGGGGGCAGCTGGGGTAAGTTTTGAATCAGTTAGTTGCTCTAGCCGGTCAACTGGGGTAAAATCAATTACACCAACCAGAACCGAGGAACAGGAACAAGTGGGGCAAGTGGTAGAAATCAGCTGGCACTTCTAGATCCCCTGCGCACCATAATGCTCCGGCTTCTCCGCTTCGCTTGTTCCCACCGTCCCGCACGTGAAGCTGGGTGCATCCCCCTCGTCAGCGTCACCACCACGTCATCATCTGCACCATCACCAACACCGACACCATCATCGACGTCATCTTCATATTCATATACTGCAAAGACCACTAGCAGCGGCTTTTTGCAATAACTCTAGCGGCAGCTTCCATTCGGGTAATAGATCCGGGAAGACGCCACCACAATCTGAGAGCCGAGAATGCACATCTGCAGCCATCCGTGCAGCCCCATTGAAACTTGGAAGTCACATCATGCAAAAGAACCGGTGCTGCCCACATCAGGCTTCGGAGATCTGGTCGATCAGCCATGTTTCACAGCATGAGTTCACAGGTTTCGATGGATCGATCGTGGGTGGATGGCTGCAGGACTTTGCATGTGCTGAAGAGGTGTTTCGGGTGATCAGGCGCAGGACTCGCAGACTAAGCAGGAGATAGATGGGAGTTTCCGAAAAACAGGGGACCCAAATATAATGCCTTAAATAATAGGATCCTTATTATAAGGACCCCCAAATGCAAGGCCCCCAAGCGATGTGAACTCGGTTCTCGCCAGGGATGCACAGAGAATGAGAAAGCCATCCAGCACTGAAATTCAGATCTTTGCACGACAACCATGACTGCGCTTCAAATGGCCCCAGGTTCTCATACTTGTACTCCACATGGTAGCCCAACTGCTCGGAAATCAAGATGGCGGCCTGCGTTGACCTGCGCTCGTCAGGTTTGTGTCCTGGCAGCACGCGGGCCATATCAAGGCAGGAGCTAACGTATTACTATAACTATGATTATGACTAGTATTATTACTATTACTATTACCGGGAGTTTCGCCGAAAGTGAGGAGATGAGGTCGCCCCTGGCTTTGGAAGGGGTTTTTGAGCCTCCCTGCCTGGGTTCAGTGAGTACTTAAGGTTATATGCAAGACAGACGCCTTCGTTGCATAGGTGATGGTGGCGATGTCAGGGTTTTATAAATCGTTGTTGCACAGATCAGTGCACGCCCGCCTGAGCATCAAGATGCCATAATGAGTCGAACATGGCTATTTACATGGATCTGCCTGGTCTTGGTCATCGACACTTCGACGGCCTTCCACTTGATAGTAGATGCCCTTCTGTTTGACAGGCGGAGGGACGCACACATTCTTCCAGCGCTGTCAGGTGCATACCTTCGTCGGAATGACACCTACTTCGTGAAGCGGAAGGGGTCAATCACCGTCCTTTCACGCCACTCAGACTCAAGCTGGTGTTTCTCAGTTGCAGGACTTGATTTGCTTTGCAGTGCTTCCACTGAGCTGGACGTGGACGTCCGGTCTGTCAAGACATGGCTCTTTACTCCACCGAGTTGCCCATGTCAAGCAAGCGTTGGGTGGCCGAAGGAGCAACAGATCCTTACACACCGACACGCCCAGCTCTTGAAGTCCCCTGCACGATCTCGCTGTTATTGCAAGCGTGCGGGGGGGGCATCCACGGTACGGAGGATCAGCGACATCCGCATCAGCAAAGGAAAGCTAAAAGTTCCAGCAAGACCCCCGAATGCGACGCAGCCCCTCACAGAAAGCTGCCCACCTGGCATGCCCTCGAGACCGCAGCCGCGGAGAGTTTTCCTGGGCTTCACGGTGAATGATGAAACAGGACCTCTCCTAGCTCACATTCATGAGGTAGCACCTGTGGTGGATGCAATTTTATGGATCGAGAGTTTGATCGCCTTCAGTGGACTACCTCGGAACTCCACCTTGGAACGCATGCGCCGAAGACTAGCACCGTACATGCATAAGATTTACCCAGTTCTCTTAACCAGCAACGGTGTTGAACCTGAAAAGGCCCGCCGGGATGCAAGCGACCAAAAGAACGACCAACTACTGGGCAACGCCGGCTGGCGTTCGGCTGAGTACATGTACAATATGGCCGGGAAGACACTGCAGTTTGATGAGCGCTTCCGAGAGCAATTCCTCGATTCAAGGGCTCTTGCAGGGGACGATGTGCTGATCGTACTGGATGCCGATGAGGTTATAAGGCGAGAAGCTCTATGGCAAGTCAGACATTGCACTGTGAGCCACTGGGCTGCGCACTTGCGTCATGAGTTTAGGTGGATGTGTCCGTTTATCTGACTGTCTTCTTCTCTTTTTCTCCTCTCTCTCTCTCTCTCTATCTCTCTCTCTCTCTCTTTCTTTCTCGCTGCCTCACTCTCTTTCTGTCTCTCTTTCCCTCCCTCGCTCTCTCTCTCTCTCTCTGAAACAAATTCAAGGCCGGATTCTAACCTCACTGCTCCGAACAATGTAGTCAACAGCTTCTCAGGCTTGCCTGTGAGATTCCAACTTCGGAACTATGTCTATGACTTGCAGCATTACAACTGGCAGTTGACGCGCAGCTTCAGCTCATATTTTCAAGAAGCAGATTGGTCCTTCGCGACCGGCATCAGCATCCATCAGCTCACAGATCTCGGCATCGACCCGCGTGCTGCTCGCATGGCGCGGATGGCACGCAGTGGTATCGCGGTTCCTCCATCCTACGAGCACTACAAGCGTCTGCCTGAAGTGCTCTTCAAGAATGCCGGCTGGCACATGCATCTTTTCTATGGCGCAAAGCAGATCGCCCGAAAGCGTGCCATGGGCCTGCACTACAGCTTCAATCGCAGACCTTACAACCACACCCCGAGCCTGAGAGCTATGATATTCTCCGGCAGACATCCCATGCTCGGCGACTGCCTCTCTGCGGGTTTGAACGCAACCAGCTGCAAGGCCAACGCCTGCGACGAGCCAGAGCTGCAGCGATCCTCGCGCCTGATGTGCGTCTTCAGGGCACGTGAGCCGCCGGAGTCCCTGCCACATCTTGTGCGTGACGATCCAGAGATGGGTCTTTGCCTCACGGACAGGCTTGCAGGTGATCTTGACCGCGTGTGTCCTTCAGATGTTCCGGACCTTCAGTGGCAACCTGATTTGAGATAGAGGCATTGAGGCGCATGCACCATTGAAGGCCGCAGGTACCTGAGCTACCGGTCGGAATGCGACCATAAACGGTCTGTGAACTGTGAACAATGCGATCGCTGGCAGTCTTCAGCATAAATAAAGATCATCCAGCCCTTCCGCTGGCAGCACGTCAAGCTTCACGTCGTGGAACAGATCGCTTTGGGATGCTTTGGGGAGACAGAGCATCGCCTCTGAACCGTTTGCTTCACGCCGGTCAGGCTCTGCCGGTCAGGCTGGAGCTTGGCGCAGCACTTCTGAGCGAGATATAAGCGTAGGCAAACACTTGCGCGCGGGAATCGTGATCTAATTCTGACCACTCTTCCGTTCTCGAGGTGCAATGCTGCTATTGGTAAGATTGTGGCAGTTGTGCATCTCCGCTCAGTTGCCGGCTTCTTCTGTACTGTTTAGAGATTTCGGATATATGGAAATCGACGGCAGCATGTTCATCAGACAGCCAGACACAGTGACACACAGACACACAGAGACCCACACCCGCATGCACACCCACACCCACATGCACACGAACATGTGCACACACACCCACACCCACCCACACCCACACCCACACCCGCACCCGCACCCACACCCACACCCACACGCACACGCACACGCACACCGACACCGCACATGTACCAGTAATCAGTCCTGCGTTGCGCGTTTCGTGTGCTGGCATGGCTGGCGCGGCGTCTGATAACATTTGTTTTTTGCCAGTTCGTACAAAGTTCATCAAGAAATAACATCTGGATGGAATTTGGATTGCTGTAATATCATGATATATAGTGACGGTCGTGCTGATGTTGATAGCGCTGATGAGCATGACTGCGAGACTCGTGTCCTTCGCTGGCTTCATGTCCAATCAGGTTGGCAGGTGGAGTGGTTCAACTGTTCCTGAAGCCCTAAAGCGGTGGACACCCCTAAACCTTCCTATTGGTGTGGAAACCCAAGCTATGCATCATACCCGCAGCTTCGCTAGGCGCTGTGCCCCATTGCGCTCGAGTTGCTGCGACGTGGCCACGAGGATCGGATCCAGCTTGCGGTTGGATGGTCTTGTGGTGGTGAATGCAGGGATGCGCAGTTGGTGGGTCACCGGATCAGTAGGTCGCCACTCACTGCAGGTCAAGTTCGTGCTGCATGAGGAGGCGTGGGAGCTTCGGGCAAGGACTGCAGATGTCTCGAACGCCATGTACAACTCTCCCGGACTCCCGGAAGTGTGCATTCGCCAAGTGTGGGACTGGGCGTACTATTGAAGCCCCCGGCGAGGAACTCGGGAAGTTAGCAAAATTGAAATAATTCCAATGGGCTCGCGCGTAGCAGCCTGGAAGGAAACCCCATGTTAAGCTCAACTAACTCGCCCTGGCAGCCCATCCAGGTGGGTGTGAACAGTGAACAAGATGCTCCCTGCTCGCTCCTTCCCCCGGTTTTGAACCTGGTACTACCGATTGCAGACTTGTTCGCTGGGAATAATATCGAAGATGCCGAGGCATTTCCAGTCCCGGCTGCTTTCAGGTCTTGTCGCTTCTTCCGTCGCCATTGACAGCTTTGAGTGCAGGGTTCGGGCCCCGGAGCCCTTCTGTCCGACAATTGCGAGGGGACATCCGCTGAGAGTCTACCAAGATATCGTACAGCAGCTTCGGCTTGAATCAGACTTTAACAGAGCACATGCGAAGGGGCCCTGAGGGATGGCTCAGCCTGTGCGGTGAGCTGTTCCTTTACTTGCGCAGAAAGAAGAGCAGAGACACAGCTTTCCTGTCGTGGGCAAGAAGACGGTTTGGGATCATGCACGGAAGTGACTCAGCGCTGGGATCATCGGGTGTCTCCTAACACTTGAAGTTGTGGAGAGGTTGCAGCGAAGGTTTTTGCAGCGGGGTTTGGGCGACGCAGCACTCTCTCTCGCGTCTGCTTGGTTGGCTCCTAGAAATTCTCTTCTCCACTCACTCACGAGCGTGGCACCCGAGTCTCTCTGGAGTGTGCTGTCCGTTGCGGTCCACAGTGCTCAGGCCGCTTCCTTGGCCGGGCTCTGAGCAGCTAACAGCTAACGCGGATTGTGATGGAGACCACCGCCTGGAACCGGCCTCCGATAGCCCTGAGTATCTCAGTGTGGTCTCTGCACGGAGCCGCAGCCAAGCTTTCCAGTCATGAGACGGCGTGGAGGAATATGATAGCAGTGTATAAGCGCAACCTTTACATATTGTGTTGTCGTCTGAGATAGCAGATGACAGTAGCAAGATAACAGTCATCGAGCTTAACATCGTACTCGTAGCCTAGTATCAGCAGCATCTTCACCATATATCATCATGATCATCATCGTCATCCTCATCATCATCATCATCAGAAATCATCATCTTCGTCATCATCATCGTTTTCATCATCATCATCATCATCATCATCATCTTCATCACCATCGTCATCATGGGGAGCACCATCAGACTCATCGCAGCGTGCCCCCGACACGTAGTCCACAAAGGTCCTGGGACGAGGAGCGCCGATTCCGGCAGTCTTTGTGGGCGTGGGCTCTCAGAGAATCGCCTTAGGATTTTGTTCTGGCTGTGACCGAAGGTGTTGCCGGCGGCGCGACCAGCTATTGAATTCAGCATCCCTATAGTCCCAAAGCATAAAGTTCAACTGTTGATTGTTGATCTGCAGCAGAAACGCCTTAATGCCCCTCGCCTATGCACAAAGAACGCACTCGACGTTCTATTTGGATGCAAGTTGCTTCTGCCGGAAGCGATTTTTCTCGGAGCTTCGTAGGTGCAGCGATCGCTATCACATTTCACGCTTTCTTGTGAGCGCGCAAATTGAGCAGTCCACCCTTCGTAGGATTTTCTCGCAGTCGTCGTCAGAGTCAAGCTTCATGGGATATTGAAGCCTGCTTCTGATCATACGGGTGTGCGTGTGTGTGTGGGTGTGTGGGCGTGTCTCGAGTAGCAACTATCCACAGATGCCGGTGACTTCCGTGAAGTCGGAGCACCATTTCGTGCGATGTTGCACGGTTCGGCACAGTGCGCTTGAATAATCTTGTCCGGCTCCTTCACCAGCTGGCGATCTTTGGCACGACCTGTAGCAGCAGCTCCACGAATGGAAAAACCTGACCCGAGAAAGCACAGAAGCACGAGACTGCTTGAAACGTGCTCGCGCCATGTGCCAAAGGATCCTTCAACGTCCGACCCTGCTGAGCAGGACCAGGGTTGCGTACCTGAGGAATCTGCGATTGCATCCTTCCGTCCTTCCGTGGGTACAGGGGCTTTTTAGGTGATTGACTGCTTTTTTTCGGATTTCGGGTCAAACACAAAGCTCCGACGGCCCATCGAAGACTTGAAGGGTGTGGCAGCGAGCGGGAAGACGTCCAAAAGACTTGCCACCGTTGGCCGCTGTTGCTCTGAAAGTCTGATTGACAGACGGAGTCTGTAGCTGCTGCAAACCTTTCAGCATCGTTGGGATGTGCTGTCCTCATGAGTCAAAGGCTCAATGTCTGCGAACCCGTCTTGTCAGATTCGGTGTCCTCCCTTAACCGAGTGCCGATGTGCCGACTGAACCCAGGACAAGAATGCCTCACGAAAGGCCGGGTCGTCTTTTCTCGCAGGTCTTGATCTTGACTGCGAGGATCATCTTCTTTCCGCAGAGTTGGCTGCGCCCCTCTTGTTCGCAGATGTCGTGAATTGGCGTTGCCCTGTCTTTTTCGTCTTGGCGGTCACATTGTCACGCTGGGGGAAGGCAGAGCTCTCCGAAGAGTATTTCACTGGCAGTCAGCAGAGCTTGCTCTCAGGCGGGCCTGACCGACAGTCTCGGACACATTTACGGTGAGGTTCACGAGTATGAATGTGCGAAATTTACAAATGTCTTCAGCGCTTGCGGCGGTTCAAGTTTCAGATCATCGAGTCAAGCTGTCACTCATTACCCATTCTTTCGCGTGTATACGGACTCAGGTTTAACATGGTTGTCATGTTTCTTGCGAGCCGCTTTGAAACGCACTGCTGCGGCTGCTGCTGCTGCTGCTGCTGCTGCTGCTACTTCTACTCCGACCCGAGTCCTACTCCACCCCTACTCGTACTCCTACTCCTGGCCCTACTCGCACTCCTACTCCTACTACTACTACTACTGCTACTACTACTGCTACTACTACTACTACCACTACTACTACTACTACTACTACTACTACTACTACTACTACTACTACTACTACTACTACTACTACTACTACTATACTACTACTACTACTACTACTACTACTACTACTACTACTACTACTACTACTACTACTACTACTACTACTATTATACTACTACTACTACTACTACTACTACTACTACTACTACTACTACTACTACTACTACTACTACTACTACTACTACTACTACTACTTTTTTTCTTCGTAGCGTTCAGGGTCCAGAGGACGCACGCCTAGCAATGAATTCAGGGTTGAAGCAGTGTGCACTCGCCCGGAGTAAACCCGAGCGGAGCAGAAATCTGCAGAAGAGGAAGCATGCCAAGATGGAACCAGCATGTACAAAAGCTGTCTCGGCCATGCACATCTCTTCAAAAAGTCAAAACTAGAGCCATCAAGGGACAGCCGCTGCCGGCATTGATGGGGACATGCCATACACAATTTACAATTGCCTGGCACTCGGACTGAAAGCAAGAACGCTACCTAACGCACGCAACCGGGCTCGATTGAGGTTCTACTTGTCACCGTAGAACCTTTCACAACCGGCAACCGAAGAGAAACAGTACTATCTTGAGCATTCCTCCGGGGGCCGGGGGAGGCAAACTACAAGACAAAGCCTTTCAAAGCCCCACAAGGTGGTTTCATTCAAACCACGTCCCACTCGAAACATGCGTGCCATGTACAACGCATTCACACTTGAACCCCGAGCTTATTCCTCCAGGGAACAGGGGAGGCCAACTACAGGGTAGGTCCCTCACAATGGAAAATTAAACATCACTGTGCCCTCTCAGACGTGCCGCTGCATACAGTGACCGCGTATATACACACCAACACGTGTGAGGTCTGAGTCTAACGAAAGCGAAGCGCCCAACAAACCCGTCGACATGCCGCAGAACTCCAGGACCTGGTCTACCGGGCTGCGGGGCCAGATGTCAAGGCGCTCGCCTATCGTTTTTGTCGTATAAGCAACGTTAGTGCCTTCAATCTTGAACTCATAGTGCCGCATGTCACGATCGTACTTACCATCGCCAGGGGTCGATTCCTTCTGGAAGTTGTCATCCGAAAGAGTACAGCCGCCCTCAAACTGCTTGCCAGCAAAGATCGGGTGCTGCTGGTCGGGCGGGATGCCTGCCTTATCTTGGGACTTAGCCTTGACTTTGTCGAACTTGTCACTGGCCTCAACGCCCAAGGTCTTGACAAAGATCTGCATGCCGCCTCGCAAGTGCGGCGCCAGGTGAAGGCGTGCCCTCCATGGGCACTGGGGCTAACGATAGTTCCGCGCTGCTGCGGCGATTCGAGCCCTACTACTACTACTACTACTACTACTACTACTACTACTACTACTACTACTACTACTACTAGAAACACAGCCACGACGACGGAGGCTACTGAAGCGTTATTCGGACTGAGGACGACGACGGCCACGATGACGACGACGACGATTACAAGTACAATTACTACCAAGACATTACAAGGATTCTTGCCATTGCTACTGCTAAAGATGCCAAATACCCCACTGCTTTGCACTCCTGCTGCTGTTGCTAAGCTGACGATCTCGAATGAGAGCGTCACCATGATGATGACGTTGGTGGTTGCTGCTAGTGTACGTGTGGTGGTAGCCGTTGTTGCTCGCACGTGTGCATCATAAGGTTGGACACGTTGGCATGAAGACCAAGGAGCCTCAATCAATCGTACATAGATTCATTGGTTCATTGAGTCAGACACAAAGTGATTTGGCCTGCCGCCTGTACGCTCAAGCTGTTCCGGCTCATTGTTAGGTTAAGCCACAGGCATGCTTGGGTGTGTTTGTGTTTGTGTGAATGTGCCTGTGCCTGTCCCTTTAGCGGAGCACCGAGCAATCTTGCACAAGCACTGAATTGGCGTAGCGACCTGTGTTCCGTGCAGAAGTGCCTGCTAGCTGCCAGCTGGATTCAATCCGAACCAGCCGGCATCCTACGTAGGCAAATGTAAGTAGCACTCTGCAGGTCTGAACCGAAGCCTGCAGAAGTTGCCCCGCAACCGGTGGATCGCACCTCAGCGGGCCTTGTCATGCAACATACAACTGCTGCTGCTGCTGCGGTGGCGGCGTCGATGGTTGTGGCTGTTGTGGTCTGGAGTTTCTGTTGATTTCTGTTGTGCCTTTCCGTGCGGCGATGGTGCCTAGCAGTCTTCTCGATGGTTGTGTATCGTGTTCCTGCCATTTGACTGTGTGTCTTTGCAGCGCTTAAAATCCAGACATCTGTTCTGTTGCGGCTGCTGCGCTTGCTGCCACTTGCCGCTGCCACTTGCCGCTGCCACTCAGTGGTGAGGGGTTTAGGTCTTGGTCGGTGTCTCGGATACTCGTCCTTGTGACTTCTTGTTGTCGCTGTGGCTCCGGAGATCTCCATGGAGAAGTCCTGCAATGATGATATATACTCTTGAATACGCATCCTTACAGCTCCTCGGGCTCGTGGATAAGCGAAGACGTGCGCAAAGGAAAAGGAGGATACCAGGGCGACTGCCAGCTAAGCCACGCTACGACTTAAGACGTAATTATACTGTCTTGCTGCTTGGGCAGCCAGACTCGGCTCCAGCCCTTGAGATGCACACACACACACACACAACAGTGTGTTTTTGTGGGCGCGCAGCCCATCATGGAGTGCGAGCAGGGCGCCAGATTGTCCAAGAAAACGGCAGGGACAAGACTTGACGAACCGGCCGCCGGTCATTGCCCATTAGGTCTTATGTGCACGGCAGGCCCGTGGAGTATTCACCCCGGCTGTAATAACTCTGGTTTGTGTCACACGTGTGTATATCAAATCTGTCGGTTAGACCTCGCGATCTCTGAAGTTGTGTTGAGGCCAGCGCTTCTGGCAATTGATGTTTCCTCGGCCGAGGGCTGAGCTTCGCAAACGGAAGAGGGAGGCTTTAATTGGGATTTTCAGACTTCGGGGAGGTTTGGGTGTTTTGGAACCACGTGTTCACACCTCTAAGCTTTTCGAAGATCCCACTGTCTATAAACTGGCCGGTCAGAGTTTATGTAAAACTGTCATGGTGCAAATAATGCCCCAAACTCATGTTTGCGGGGGTACTTGTGGCTCAGAGCAACAGCGAGGCACGAGAGACTTCTGGAATTGCGATTACTTCGAGAGCGTCGTTGTGATGCACACATTTCTGCACCAGAAACAAGCAAAGGTGGGAGCCATGGACCTTGCCGAGAAGTCCATCACTCATGCACTTCATGCCGGTGGCAATTCTGCGCACATGCCAGGAAACTGGCCATAGTCGATTGTAATCAGTTGACTGTCAACCAGCGCTTTAAAGCATTAAGAATTTTCTGCAGTAAACGCTGCCCCAGAATCTAAGCTCGCTGTCAGGGGATTTTAGGGTTTGGTTCAGGGTCGAGAGGTCCAAGGTTTTGCTAGCTCTGCCGGTGCTACTGTGTGGTATGGGTTATGGTACTGTTCTGATAGTTGTAAGTTGTCTCGCGATTGGAATTTCAAATAAGACTGCGCGACGCATGTCGTGTGTTTTCTAACGAGTGCACTACAAAAACGATTTCTGCAGGAGGTTTGATTTTGCAGTCTTTCCTGCTAGTTCCCCCGAAGTCACAATGTTTGGGTTCCATCACTGACCTGGTCGGGGAACACGGCTAGGCCGATGTTGGAGAAAGCCCAACAAGTGCGGTCGGTGTCCAGGTCGTCCGCCAGTTTTGCATCATGAGCTACACGTTTTCATTCACAAAGGGTTATGTAATGGAATTTGCGGTTTGGGTTGCAGGTTTAGGGACGTGGGGCTAAGTTCGGTGTAGGGCGCTGTGCCGGGCAGTGTTCCGGTCGCGTCCCGGTCGGTGTTTGGGTCGTGTCGGTCAGTATTTCTGTCGGTGTTCTGGTGGTTTGTTGGTCAGTGTTCGGGTAGATTTCCCAATCGGGTGCGGATCGGTGTCTCGGTCGTGTTTCGCCGCTATACTCGATTGTTCGATTTTGTGGTCGTGTCCGAGTCTGTGTGTCGGTCGTTGACGTGATTGATGTCGTGGTGTCCTGATGGCTGTCTCGTTCTTGTTTCACTCATTGAATTTGTTCTGCTTGCCATCCCGGTCGAGTTTCCTTACACTCGATTGGTCGGTTTTACATGTTCCCATGCTTGATGCGACTGATGTCGTGGTGTGCTGAAGGCTGACTTGCTCTTGTTTGACGCTTTGAATTTGGCTTTGCCATCTCGGTCGAGCTTCGTTGCACTCGATGGGTCGGTTTGCAGTTTTCCGGTCAGTGACCCTGTCAGTCTATACACTAGCAGCTGACATCCTACTCGCGTCTCCTGCATCAGTGTAGTATAGAACATGATCGCTATGACAAGACGTCTCAGACACATGACATGCAAGCAAGTTCTTGTGGCTCTTTCGCTGAAGCAATTCTCGTCCTCCGTATTCGCTATCGCTACTTCCAATGCAGACTGTTCGGTTTTCTTAGACTATAACTACTCATGCCACTGGGAGCTGCGTACTACTCGTACTAGTAAATAGTTTTACTAGTGGCCAGGCCTCCTGTCTAGTAGTTGGACAAGACATGCTGTTATCCTGGGTGCGCAACGTGCATCCAACAGTTTCGGACAGCTTCGAAGCTTTGGGACCGGCATGCATCGATTCCTTACTTGCCGTGGTCCCACTTTCCTGGTATCGCCATTGCTGGCGCTAGTTGTACGACTACTGCAATGGATGCAAGTATATGCAGTTCTTAGCAAAGTCTCGCGTGCTTCTTGTGTTTTCTAGTTCGACGCCGTCACATCCAAAGACGCGGCTGGCTTTGCTTACCGCCCAAACTTTTAAGTCTCTGTGCAGTAGTGTTGGGTGTACTGCTGAGTGATCGGGATTCTCATTCCATTCGGTGTGACTGTTTGTTTTGTCAGATCTTCACTGCTGAGGCTTCAGTTGCGCTTCGCTGTCATCTCCTCTTGGCCGGTGCGCCTGGACATTCTGACAGCCCTTCTCTCCAAGCATATTCTGGTGATATTAGGGCTTGAAGCTCCCTTGGATTGTGATGAAACACCCGATGTCCCGGCTACGGGAAGCAGAAGTTGGAACATTGACCTGCTCAGACGGGGCTCCCGTGGGTCTTACTGCAAAGGCCCAGGGTTTTGTCACACCATGTAACATGCCCATGCTGTGCATGCAAGCGCAGCGCGCATGAGAACAGATATGTGGGATCTTGCAGAGAGGTATGGCCTTCTGGATATGTGCACCGAAGGTAGAGCCCGCCTTTTGGTATTTCATCTGTCTGCAAGCTCCCATGCCGTTGTTTACCTGTGTTACGGCACGCCGCCTTGGTGAACGACTTTGAGTTGTTACGCACTATGTTGTGGTATTCTGCACCACTCAGCCCTGAGCTCAACGATTCGCGCAGGTAGGGCCCACACTTCAGTGACTTGGACCTGAAGCTGGGAATGTAGAACTCGGAGTTCACCCAGGACCTGGGCAGGAGTTGCATGTGATCTTGGTCAATGGCATCGTGCGTTCAGTGCAAGTGGGGAATCGCAACTTCCAGATCCTGACCACCAGTAGAGAGCATCAGATCAGGGGGTGGAAGCGGCTGTTTTCGCTTCTTGCTTATCTTGCTTGGCTGTGACTTCAGGCTTCAAGCCTTTGTGATTACCTAGAGGATAATACTGTTGTTTGGCACTGTGGTAGAGTGGTATTTCATGTCGTTGTTCCGACAGTGACGGGAGTACCAGCCGCGGGCGCCCCATTGGGTGTGTCGGTCTCGCGGTCATTTTGTCAACTGATGTCTCGGCCGTTTCATCACACGGTTTCACCGTGATTGTCTCGATCTCTGTCGTCGGTTGGTGTCCTGATAGCACGACTCTGGTAGGTCGTAAGTGCATCCGTCAGTATGGTGATTTCCATGCACGGTGCCCGCTTTGTCCCAGTCTGTTCGAGTCGGTGTCCCTGCCAAAATACCTACCAAAAGTAGCATGGTGGGCATGAAGAGTTTTGCCGTTTTGCCAGATCCCTACGGCCTTGTTTCGCCATCGGGTAAGCCCGGCCGCCCTCCTCTTTGATTTGTTTTTAGCACAACTCCGCGAAAGGGGGCTGCGGCTGCGATCCAGAATTTGGGAAGATATCCTGGAGCAGAGCTATTGGCAAGAGCTTTGTGGATCAGGGTCCATGGCCACGTGATCACATCATATCACATCGTAGCCTTCATCCTCCGAGCAAGCTGCGGGAACCACGAAGCAGACCATAAGCCTACATACCCAACACGGGCCACAGTGGCAATTTCGATGTCAAGCTGAGGTCACTTGGCGAGCCGGGTTTGGGGGAGCAAAGCTGGCAAGCGGCCCAGAGTCGTTTCGAAGACATGAATGCAGGTACACGTGCAAGCGCTCGATGTGCATTGATCGATTGCTGGTGCAGGCTCCCTTCCGAGCTCTTCGCCTTCACACAGTCTTCGGACCAGCAGGCTACAGCCGGAGATGCAGGGACACGCCCGAGAATGCAGTAGTGACCCCTGGTATTGTTGGCGTACTGAGCAGCGGCCTTCACAATTGGGGAGGGTTCTGCAAGTTGACTGAGGAGCTCCGGACCTAGGATTGCCAGTCCGGAACGCGACGGCATTGCCACCGTCGCCACAACTGCCACAACCAGCACAGCACAAGGATAGCACCACGAGTGCCACCACTGCTAGAGTGATGAAGCAGCGACAACGCAGAGCAATCTGCTAGCATCCACAACTGCAGCCATGATGTCAAGAATGATGGCGAGCGGCAACGATGCCACGACCACCACCGCTAATCCACCCACTATTACGCAACGATTGCGAAGATAATCCATCACCATGATGTTGGTGGCAATGCTTTCAGACTTTGTCATCTTCATCCTAGCAACCATCCTCACTCTAGCGGTTTACAGCAATGCTGATAACACGAATTACAATCCTCATGGTAGTCTTCGTCTGAATACGAGCACGCGAGGGGGTATGGCAAATTAATCATGAGATGTGCAATGGTCTGCATGGCGATCCATGACGGTCCTCGTCATCGTCATTTTCCTCACTGTCGTCGTTATTGGCTTCTGCATCCTCATCCTGTAAATAGTGTGTTCTGCTGGTGCTAAGCTATGCACTTTACGCTCGGCCTTCTAAAGACTTCATCGATCTGATGTCATCCTCGCAGTCTCTGGCGGATCGCACGAAGCGCCTTCTTGTCGGCTCTGCTCTACCGCCTCTCGGTACAAAGATGCGTTGTTGCTGCTCTTCACACTTGTTGCATCTCGATTATGCTAGATGTTTCATTGATGCTTACTGGTTCCAGAAGTTTAGGAGTGAGGCCCAGTGCTGGAAACGGTAGCCTCAGGCACAGGTACCACAGGGGCTTGAGAGTTGAGAGATGCAGATTCAGCGCTTGGACTTTCACATCTGGGGAGAGGCAGTTTGCAGAGAGATCTCCTCGCCTTTGTCAGGGGTTGCAGGTGACCTCATCCCTCTCACGCGTTTAGTCGCCTCCGACAGTCCGGTAATCCTGCGAGCAACAGAAAGCAGGTCACAAGGCTGAAGGAGCTTCACTTGAGCCGAGACGAGGCCTAAACCCCAATGTTGCCTTCGCGCAGGTGGCTCATGTCGTGGGCCGGCTTCCATGCACCGAGGCACTTGCAACTGCAGTGTCCACCGAGCAGCCTCTATTCAGAATCTGATCTTTGGAATCTTTCCATGATCCTCCCACTTGCGTAGAATCTGACCCGACGTCCGGAGCTTGGGATTCGACTGCCCGGCCAACTTTTGCTATTCACTAGACTATACAATTGTCTGCACACGTGTAGCCTGCTCACGTGCATCTTCCGATGGCCGCTACCGAAGATGCGCTAGCGGCACAGGCAAGTACGTGCTCACATGTCTCACCGCAGACAGACCATAAAAAAGACCTCGCCAATGGCAGGGTAACCAAGGGAGGTCTTAGTTTGTCTGGGAAGTATCAAGTCTTCGATACTTTATTCAACTCCCAACAGCGGATCCTACAAGAACCGGAGCCGGAAAGTCTTTGAAGCTGAACACGTCAAGAAGACCCCGCCAGGAGGCAGCTGCGGGAGTCTCTCGGTCTGAGTTCGCTGCAGCTGCTAGAGGCGCCGGGGGACCCAGAGATGGCGTTTACTGACTTCGTTGCTCTATAGTCTCCACTTACATGTTGCAGTGCGCAGCGCCATCCCCGGAGCTCTGTCGCGCCTGCAGCGTATGGTGCATGTGCAGATGTGTGCGGTGTGTAGTGAGACGAGCATGGTGCCAGAACCCAAACTTCAATGTATGCTCGAGCCTGCATCTGTAGTTTCACGACTGCGGCAAGTCCAGGCCAATCACAGAGGCAAATGGAGGCCAGCCTCCACCGGCGTGCAGCTGGCGGTATGTCCTCGCTAAACATCGCTAAACATGCAGACTCTGCTTGCTTGGTAGATGATGAGCTTTTGCCTCGTCATGGAGCTTCGTTCCAGGGGTGTTCCCAAGCATGCATTGTCCCAGTTAGCTGTGTTGGGTCGTCCGCCTCGTTTAAGAACTACAGGAATTCCTGTGTAAAACTGGGACATCCATAGCTTTAGCTCCGTAACGTAAAGACATTCAGGCCGGCCACTCGTCGTCGTCCTGACACATTGGGGTCGGGAGCCTGGCTTGCAGCTACTATTCTTCACGTTGGCCGGACAAGACGTGGTGCGGCCGCCCTTGCTGCAGCTCTGCGGCTTTTGTGCGTCTGTTCACTCGCCCGAGCCTGTGGACACCAGCCAGCTTGCAACAGTTCCCGCCAGGCTTGGACCGCCCACGCCCACTACCCCCAAGGGCCGTGCTGGTTGCGGGCTCGGTGTTGCACTAAACTGGTTCGGCGTTCGGGGGTGTTGGCTTCCGTCTGTCCGTCCGTCCGTCCGTCTGTCTGTCTCGGTCGGTCGGTCTGTCTGCCTCTCTCTGTCTCTCTTTCTGTCTGTCTGTTTGTCTCTGTCTGTGCGCGTGCGTGCGGGTGTGTGCGTGTGCATGTGTGCGTGCGTGCGCGTGTGCGCATGGGTGTGCGTGGCGCGTGCCCGTGCATGTTCAGATGGTGCAACAAAGCTGCTCAGACATGATGGACGGGCAGTGACTAGAGCCTGGCATAGATCATATCGGGAAGGTCCCGCCTCGTGTGCCGTTCGTACCTTGCCGCTCGTGACAGAGGAGAGCGCAGCATCTCCGAGCAAAAGGTCCAGCGGACCTTATGATATCCTGAGTTGCAGCTTCAGGTTGGCCCGGTCGAGGACTATGCAAGCAAGCTTCAGCAGCTGCCAGAACTGGGCAGGCAAGCTGCTGCTTTTGCACTGCTTCTTGCACATGATAATTTGTTGAGAGTCTCCTTCGGCCTGCTTGATCTGGGAAATCAAGCGATGATGCAATCGGAGTGGCTTTGTTTTTGCATCCGCGACAGGCAAGTGGACGAGTGGATTCAAGCTGACAATGCCAGCATGGCTGGGACCTCAAGTGCAGCTGTAAAGGCGTCTGGGTTGGCCGGCGCATTGTCCACACTTTTGGGATTCCTACAACCGGCGGACCATGATTTCCGAAAACTTTGCCTTGGGTTCCCTTCGCCCACGAGCGTTGGGTTTCGGACAGTCAGGGTTTGAGGCAGGGTGGTGTCTAGGCTGGATGTCAAAGCTTGACCACCAAAACTACTCACTGCCACCTGTCCTCATTACCTTCATTTTAGCCATCGTCGCAGTTGGCATGGATGTGGTCTGGCTACTTGTGTTCAAGCTTCCTGCAGTTGAACATTTACCATTTAGCCATCGTCGCAGTTGGCATGGATGTGGTCTGGCTACTTGTGTTCAAGCTTCCTGCAGTTGAACATTTACCATCACCATGCTGATTTCCAGAGTTTCATTCAACCAGATTTTCCAGCCTACGGCTTGGCCGTGCCCAGATTAGTCCACAGCTTTGCACCTTGCAGGTACCCGATTACTGTCACACGGGTTTCAGAAAAGCCCCCCGTGGGTGAACCCGAGATCCGTTTACCCAAAGCTCTCGACACATCGCCCGTCATGACCCGTCATGACCTGAGCTATACAGCCACTGGGAGCAACCGATCGACCCATCCTACTTACTCATTGCGCATTGGAGTCATGAGCCCCGCTGCCCCCTCCGACCGTAGAAGTCTGCGCGAAAGCGCAGCTAAGGTTTATATTTCCTTCGGTACGAACGTCAGGCCGAAAGAGAAGGCAGGCAGTACACACTTTGCTGACTAGGGGGCGGGGTTCGATGAATGTGCAGCGTTGCTGTAGTGTTAAAAGCCAGTTCAAGCAGTGTAAGCGCTCATCGTGCTCTTAGCAAAGGCTAACATCAGCAATAGCAAAAGATGGCACCCGAGTCCTACATGTCTTCATGAGTCCCACATAAAAATTCTACGAGCCTCAGGGTCCGGCGCTTGACGTTCCGTGGATGCCCCACAGCCAGTTGGTTGGTCAGCACCGAGAACTTTACTTCCACCATCCTCCATTAGCATGGCCTGGCGCACTGCTATCAGTACAGTACAGCCACGGCGACTTTCTCCGCGATGATGATGGTCATGGTGATTGTGATGATGACGAGGGCAACTATGATGGTGCTGACGACGGCAATTATGATGGTGCTGACAACGGCGAGGATGAGGAACATCAGGATGAAGCGCGATGAAGACGCCGACGACGCAACTGATGCTATCTGCGCGTCTGTCGCTGATCAAGAGGCTGATAATGTTGCTGCTGATGATTATGCTGATGCTCATCTTGAGGCGATGATGCTGGGGATCCGAACGGCATCGTGGTGATGATGATGCTGATGATGGTGGTGATGGTGATGGTGGTGGTGATGATGATGACGCCAATGCCGTTGATGTCGCTTTTTTGCGTAACATCTGTTTCTTTTCTTCTTCCTCGGTTGGTGCGTTTCCGGGCTTCTTGTTGATTTGTCTGCTTACCGTCTTTCTGCAGTCCGTCCGTCCATCCTTCTATGTTTCAACGTTTCTCTGCTCAAGAGAGTCATGGTAGGATGAATGGATGGGTGGCGAGCTCAACTTTGTAGCTCTGCTGCGCTTATCGGCCGAAGTAGCCCGACCCAAGAGACTGTGCAGGTTGTCCGAACGCTACTGGAGGCTGCAGAGGGCATGCAGGAGACTGGCGACCTTAAGTGGCCCAACACTTGCACGGTAATGCTATGGGGATGCACCCATACACTGCGAGGCAGGCAGGTTTACAGGCTTTCACACAGTTCTAGCAGCTTGCATGACAGAGACACTTTGAGTGCAGCCTCCTGGCATGATTCGCCCGTCGCTGTCGGCATGGAAGCGACAAAGCTACAGCTCGGTCCTCCCTCGTGTTGTGTCCAGGACGACTTCCGATTCATTTGGGATGCACGCGAGGAGGAGGTCGAGGACAGCAGCTTAGGGATTGAGAGCGGCTCGGGGGCCGTAGGCTTTCGTGTTTTCGGGCAGCTGTCACTGAACCCTTGACCCCAGGGCCGCTATCCAGGTTCTCACTGTGTTGTCTTGGGTGTGCTACAGGATTGCGCGAAGGCTTTAGGGTCGGTTTTGAGCAGAACAGGCCAATCCAGCTTTCACGGATTGTCGGGCATTCACGCTGAGTGCCACAAATTTTGGGCGTCGGAGTTTGTGGACCTTGAGTCTCGTGTCCCATGTCGTTCTGGGCCATCAGCGGTGACACAGGGTCGAGACATCACGTTTGGGGCACTCACAAGGCTTAGGCCCCAAATTGGAAGCCTTGGATGTTGACGCCGTAAACCTAAGCCAGGCGAGCGTCTTTCCGGCCAAGGCAGGATTTCAGTTTCCATTCAGCGTGAGACCCTGTCCGCAAGCAGCAGGAGAGTCAGCTCGGTGTCGGTTGTTCACAAACATTGCCATTAAGGATCTCCTCGGCAAATGTCAAAAATGGGACTCCAAGCCTGCACTTTTCAATTTCAGGAGCTACCAGTACAAGTACCGAACCGATTAGTCGGTAGTTTCATGTCCGGTGGGCATTAACAAAAAGCACGGTGACAGAAGAAGCTTCGCCACAAAAGGGCTTTGGCTTCAGCTTCTCCTTTCCGTAAGAGGCTTCTCATTGCTGCCTGCATCCGTAGGACAAGATCTTGGAATCACAGAAAGCCAAATTAAATCGCCTGCAACTTGCAACAGTGAACAGTAGTAGTGCTAATTACTGGCGGCACAGCTAAAGTGAGTCTTGATGATCCGATGCCACAAAGAGACAACGGAGGGTTTTTCATCAGTCGGGCACCGACCTGCTTCAAAAAACAGCAGCACCACAAATGCCAGAGGCTCATTCAGCTGCGTTGCCGGCCAACGTGCTTTTTGCAGCCGGAGTGCCGGGCGCCCACACACAGGGTGGATACGCCAAATTAATCTGTCAAATGAACGCGAGAAATATGCCGGAGATGACAGTTAAGTAATTTTAACGCTACGCCGCCCGCCTCGGCTCTGTAGTGGCAGGGGTTAAGGCCTTCCAGCCATGCCGCCCGGAGCAAGAAAAAACAACACAGAAAGAGCCTGAAAAGAAAGACAGGCAGTGGATTGACGACGCAAAAGCCAAAGCGGGGGCGAGGAAGACGAAACGAGGGCGGGGAGAAGAAGTGGGAGCAGGAAAGAGGGAAGAAAAAGGGGGGGGGGGGGGGAGGGGGGGGGGGGGGGGGGGGGGGGGGGGGAGGGGGGGGGGAGGGGGGGGAGGGGGGGGGGGGGTGAGGGGGGCGGGGAAGGGTGGAGGAAAAAAAGAGGGGGGAGGAGGCCTGGTAACCACCAAAACGCCTGGGCCTGTGGCCTCGGCGGATTCTCGCATGTGATGTTCTGAAGACGATGAATGTTATAAAGCTCTCGATGGGGTATCTGATCAAGAGGACAGGTTGATGGTCAGTGGCATCATCATCGTCATCATCATCATCATCATTAACTGCAGCTGCAGCCTTGCCATCACTATGATCTTCATCAGACCATGAACGTCATCGCCCCGCTCCTCCTGTGCCTTCGCTTCTTCCTCTGCCCGCCACCACCACCATCACCACCACCACCACCACCACCACCACCACCACCACCACCACCACCACCACCACCACCACCACCACCACCACCACCACCACCACCACCACCACCAATCGAACCGCCAGCCTTACCGTCGCTGCCACCACCATCATCATCAGCAACATCATCATCGTCGTCGTGGCTATCACTTCATCGCTTTCGCTATCGCCGGCATTACTGTAGTGGCGCAACCTCATCACTGGCATCACAAGCATCATAGTATCATCTCAGGCACTAATGCTGCGATCACAACCACAGTAACTGTAGCATCAAAGTTCACAATCGCCATCGTCAGCACCGCCACCATCGTCAACATCTTCATCGATGCACCAATCGTTTCAAGCCGTTCCATCATCAGGACCCTCCCCATCCCCCTCTACTTCATCACACCCAATATCGTCATCATTCGACTTTCTAGTCGTTCTCGTCATCGTTGCCTCCATCGTCATCGTCGCTTTCGCCCCGAGGAAATGAGTTGCTTGTGTTCGGTTTCACCCTCTTCGTCTGCGGCGTCGTCATTCTTCTCCGGCTGGCCCCACTCTGCTTTGTCGTCATAGATGCATCCATCATTCCCCAGTGTCTTCATCCAGCTCGTCATCAAAGCAATCATCATCATCATCGTCATCGTCATCATCATCATCATCACCGCCACTCAGATCATCAGGTTCCCATCCTCGCCTTCATATTCGTCCTTTGCTCCTTCATTGGCGCCAGCCGGGTGAGTGTGGAAGCACCACCGGTGCATAACACCACTGGACAGCCGTGTCCTTCTGCAACTGGTCGGTTGGTTGTAGGGAAACAGCTGGAGAACGAGGCACGCTGAATTTTGATGAACAGCCTCATCAGACCTCCAAACCATGACCTTGATGCCGCAGTCGGACCCCTCATCGTCGGAAATCTGCACAGACTGAGCACAACCCGAGATCCCAAGCCAGGCCACAGCTTCGTGTCCTGGCCAGCGGCCGCATCTCGATCTTTGTCACGCACTGCGGCCGCCCAACTGAAACGCGGGCAGGGGAGGCAAGCACAGAACTGCTGCTGCAACTCAGACGAACGACATGCTCTAACAATCGAGAAAGACATGCTGAATGAAGATGGACTGGGCAAGTGCAGAACAGTGTGGCTACTGACCTTGCGAGCCGTGGATTGTACAAGTACTGCCCAAGTGGATCATGATGACACGAGCAAGGCATTGTGTCAAAGCTTCGTGAAAAAGCACTCTCACTGTACACGGAACAGGATGTGAGTGCTGCGTGTAGGAAATCGAGAGGCTAGTTTAACGGGTGGTTTATCTGATAAGAGGAATGGTAGTCGTGATGCGCAGTTGTCATCTTATCGCTAATCCAGACACCATCACCACCATCGTCCTTTTAGCCATTGTCTTCATCGCCAGCACCACCACCATCATCATCATCATAGTTAAAGCAGGTATCATGAGGTTAAGTGGTAATCCAGGACATCATCAACATCTCCATCGCTGCTGTTACCGTTATAGATACCACGACAACTGGCACCACCATGGCCTCCAAGAAGAACAAGCTGAAACGGCAGGAACCGTAACTGTAACAACAGCAGCGGCGGCCGCAGTTGCAGCCGCAGCCGCATCACCGTCGTCGATGTCGTCATCGCCATCATCATCATCATCACCATCATCGTTACTAAAAATCACACTCATGATCACCATTATCATCATCATCGTCATCATCCTCATCTTCAACATCTTCCATACCATCATCATCATCATCATGACTTAGTTGATCGTCGTCATCATTATCAGCATCATGACTGTCCTCATCATAGCCATCATATTCACCACCATCATCATCACCGACCTCGTCTGCATTCTCAGCTTTCTCAGTATCATCATCATCATCTCCATCATCGCAGCGCAGCATCCTCCAGATCCCGTCCGCCTATCCACATTCAGATCTGCAGACGCTTTCGCAGCGACGAGTCAACTCGGAAACTGCTGGCGCTTGCTGCACGCTCAGGCCTGAACTCTGTTCACGAGGCCGGGACCGTCATGTGCCCAGCTTGGTCCAATTGAAGGCAGAGGATGTGCTGTAACATGTTTGGAGTCATCATACAAAAGAAGCTTGGTCGCAGGCCTTGCACTTCGGGGTGCCGATGCTGGGCCTCCGCCTCAAGCTATCAGTGTGTCAAGCATTCTATGCCCACTTTAGGCATGTCTTTGTGACCGGCGTAAGGATATCGACCACAGATGGGCCAGATGAGAACTGACTGTAGGTAGTGCAACCGGAGGTGGTTTCGACTTTCGCGTTCTTTGATGCAGACTTTGCTTTCGTCCGAGTTGTGACATTTCCCATCGTGTGGCATCCTATGAGTTCAGGCCCACAGCTCAAGCAACCACTTTTACTTATAAAGAGGAGATTGCCGTGCCTCACGAGCGTGATGGGAGAGGCTCGAGATTCTTTGTTGGCCGAGGCCTGCCGTTTGTGGGCGACCAGATGGTCACGGCCAGGTGTGCCGGTGGTCTCTGTATTTAGAGTTCAGTGTTTGGTTCGTCGTTCTGCCTGCGCAGTGTCGAGCTGAGGACAATCCGGAGTATCATGAGAGAGATAGAGAGAGGTGCGATTCACGTATGTTCATTGTGGCGGCACTTGCAAGCAGGGCTAGGACTAGGACGGCTAGGATGCCTGCAAAGCGTCCGGGGTTCGACCCCACAATCCCAAAAAACTGTGATTTACATGGACGGCTTGGGTTGTGGAGGAGCCACACATGCACTGCGTTACGACGGAATTCCGGCTGTCGAGTCAGACCAGTGGCGCGTCCTTTTGCCAGGCTGATTGTAGAGAATGGAGCAGGGCTTCGACTGCATGCCGTTGGCTCAGGGTGCTGTATTGCGCCAAGTAGGCTTTGCTTTTCGCCACGACATTTGCCGATTTCGCAAGATGGGCTCACCTCTCGTTGGAGATATGACCCGCCAAACATGTCAAAGGCTTCCAAGTACCCAGGATTGATGACTGTAGCTGCGATTCCAACTGGCAAGATCATTCCCTCGGTGCTTGGGGACGTATCCGGGATCTGAACTGGGGTTCGAGATTGCAGCAGCATTGCGTGCTGCATCCACATCTCACAAACTTCAGGGTGTCGGGATCAGCTTCGCAAGTCTTGCGAGCTTTGAAATCGATCTCAATCATATGGTCTTCATGCTGCTCATCAGGAGCTGGTATGCCATGTATGCTTTCAACATCTGTCATGCAGGGACATTTCTATTTGGTCACCGCCGCCACCAATTCCAAGAGCACTTCCGCGACGACGAGGAAGTACGGACAACAGACGACGTCGACGACAACGCCGGCGACGACGACGACGACGGGGAGGAGGAGGAGGAGGAGGAGGAGGAGGACGACGACGACCAGGACGACGACCACGCCAGCTGCAACCAGCTACAGAGTGTTGTGGTGGTCGTCGTCTTCCAATTGCTACTACTGCTGCCACTTCCGCTTCCGCTGCCGCTGCCGCTGCCGCTGCCGCTGCCGCTGCTGCTGCTGCTGCTGCTGCTGCTGCTGCTTCGACTGCCACGACCCGACCACTACGACCAACGCTACGGCTACAACTGCTACCACCTGTTGTGGCGCGATAGCTGCCAGCTCTGGATTGCTGCCGGCACGGGTTGGAACTGCGTGAAACGGCTGCTCATCTGGTCCGCCCGTCACTCAGGGAATGCAGGTGGCATGCGACCGCCATGCAGGTAACATGCAAGTTTTCCTCTGCTGGCTCTTGGGCACAGTGGCATGCAAGAATATGCAGATGTCATCTGGCGGGTTCACTACAATTCCCCAGAAGCCAAGACATCGTCCACTCTGCCCAGGTTCCCAATCTTGAGGTAGCTCCCACCCAGGAGGCCATGGCATGCAGAAGTCTTCTGAAGAATCTCTCCAATGCTCCTTCCAGTTTTGCTCGTCTTATATCTTAGCCTGAGTTTGAGGCTACCTTGGTTTGCAATGTTTGTCATTTGGATTCCCATGCTGCGTGAGGCGAGGGTAGGAATCGGCGCAATTTGTGCATGGTCCTCATTGCAGTCTGCTGTTAGTGTTGCTGTTGCGGATGCCTACAATGCTGAATGCATTCGAACATCAGCCGACCAGAAGTGTATTCGTAGTAGATTTGACGCACGGAGCAAGAAAGGGTCTAATGACAGACTCTTCATATCCTGTGCAATGTCACGTTCTGCAGTTTTCGTGAATCCCTGGCCTGGGGTCCCATTCCTTACCCACAATGTCCTGAAGTTCGCCTCGCCCGTCCGCCAATCCCATCTTAAGCCCAACCGAGAGTGGCTCATGCGTTCGTACCGTTTCAGAATCTGCCAAGTGGGCGCCATGCCCAGCCCAACCGAGAGGCCTTGCGTCGCCTGACGGCACCAAACTTCCGACAAAACGCCGCTGCTGCGGGACGCTCGGGCCTTAGGGCTGCGGCCTTCGACAAATCTTCGTGCAACTCTTAGGGCTGCGGTGAAAGGGGGCCGGGGCAGACTGTCCTTCGTCTGTGCTATGCAGTTACGACTGTGCCTACGATGCACGTGCCGATGTGATACCGTGTGTACGATGGAGCGAGCCATTGTAACATTGTACTTTTCTCCTCTCACAGCTTGCGTCCTGTTTCGAGTTCTGCGATATTGGCTCGGTAGGCATGGCATGCGGGAGTGCTGGCAAATGAGGACGTTTTTTTTTTGTGCTGCAGAGGTTTCGATATGGAAACCTGGGTGACAAGCATTCCATGGTGCATGTTGCTGGCTGCATGTCGAAGGACAATGGGTTGATATTAGTTGTACGAATATCAAGCATTGCTCTTGCTCATGTGCAGACTGTATTATGGTGGATTTTGACCTGCGTGTCTTCGTCTCACTGGTTGCTAGCGAGTTTTGCTGGCAGTCTGAGCAGGTTTGTCTTCGGTCTTGCTGGTCTTGCTATGATGTACTATCCTGTCTTCTGGTCTTGCCTGAAGCTTCTGGAAGTACGAATCTTGTCAAATCATTGTGGCGTGAAGCTGTCAGGCATCGGCCGGCACGCAGGCTGCTCTGTCATGCCCGGCTGTTCTCTTGGCACAGCCCCTCGTCGTCGTCAACGCAAGCACCACCATCACTGACGTCATGGGAATCTTCATCATCCCCAGTCTACTTTAGCCGCATTAGCATAATTTCACAGAGTGGAGGACGGTCTGGCCTGAGGTCCTGGGAAGGGATCCGTTGTTGTGCTCCTTCAGGGCAGTCTCACGGCCTCACGCTTCAGGGCGGCTCTGTAAGGGTGGAAAGAATGCTCTCGGCAACAAGCAGAAGCCGTCTCCGAAAACCGGCGCGCGCGGACTGATCTCAGACATTCGACCCCCACAAAGTTTGAACCGGCTCAAGATGGATCAAACACACGCAAAATCGGCAAAGGCAGGTAAAGCTCAGCTTAACTCGCCAGCAGTTAGTGTAGTGATGTGTAGTGACACCGAAATGGCAACCTCTACCCTCACCACCGTCCCCCCAAGCAGGAGCACACCAGCAGCGCCAGTCGCACTGCACCACCAGCAGCACCACCACCGCCGCAGCACCACCAGCACCAGCCATGGTGGTCTGCTCCGGACAGGGCTCGTGACCGGGGTCTTGGGGTGTGCACGGGGGCCCGTCCACGCTGTCTTGTCGTGTACCCACCACAGCCAGCCCCAGCAGACCACAGCCACAAACCGCCACCGTCACAGTCACCGCCGCCACGACTGCAACAGGATTATCACCACTGGCACGGTCTTCTGGCAGAACTGCCATGACAAAGATTTTCAGTGTGGAGGTGGCGCTGCCTTGGCTGCCGATGCACTTCTGATGGCGCAGCATGGAGTGCCCTGGCTCAGTGCATGATCCTGCCGTCTGCATCCTGCTGCAGGGTATCAAACTTGGATATAGGCTCGTTACTCAGACAAGCCTTGACTCAGACGTGTCTCCGCATTGCCATGTTTTGTCAGCTGACTCGATTCCGATAAGCAACATCTTATACTCTTGAGGTCGGGCACTTGCAAATGCTCGTGGAGAGGGTGCCTCGTGCCGTGGTATCCTCAGTACCCTGTCTCTCGGCCGAGGCAGGCAAAACTCTGAGAAACGAACAAGGCTCCGAGCAACCTGCACCGCCAGGTCACAGTCCTGCGCGTCCCCGGGTACTCTTCGGGCAAAAGCCCGTTTGTAATTGTAACTTCTGCCAAAAAGCCCCAGCCATTGCTTGTCTTGCCGCAAAAATTAGTCGAGTCGATCTTGCCTTCAGGATCGCAAAGGGCCTGTAGTGTCGCTCCAGGTCACATCTGCGCGATGAGGGTTGTCTCCCTAAGCGAGAAGTTTCAGGTTTCGTGCTGCGGCGATGTTCGTGGCGTTCAAGGTCTGAGTTGAGACTACTCCGATCCAGCACGGCACACAGCTCCAAAAGCCAAAGCCCCGAAGCGGCTTCTGAGGGGCGGCTCTGGGATGTTTGTCTGGTCATCCTGGCACCCTGCGTCTTGCTCGCGGCCTTTGCAGCACTCGGCCGGCCGTAGAGGGAGGGTTACTTCAATGCCGAGACAACCTGCTCGAGTATCGGGTATTCGAGGTCCACGCAAGTTTTTGTGTGGGGTTCGGGTTCAAGTTTAGGCATCAAGAACTGGTCGTGCTCGGCAATGCTCGGGCTTAGGCCTAGTTCGCCACACCTGTAGGTCTGCGGAGCAGCCATCTGAGTCCGACCGTCGAAGAGGCTGAGGGTGGAGAGGTTGCTGAGCCAGTTCTTTATTCTAGCCGTCGTGACTCAAAGCAGTCTTCGCACTCTCTTGGATGGTTTTGCCATGTTTTTCTACTTGACGGAGTTTTTCTATCGTTCGCGCCTTGTGCTGCGCACCATGCAGCAAGGACTGCACAGCGGAACTGAACATTGAGAGGGTCTTAGGCAGGCTGGAGGACTCGGGTTGGTGCTTATCGCGGGAATGTGCGAAATCCGGAGAACACCCCCAGCCTTATTGCCCCTCAGACTACGACTGCACAGGATCGAACTCTCACTGCAGACTCGAACACAGGAGGCTGTGGAGTTTTCTTTGATGTAGGCGGGACTTATTGACAGGTTTGTGTGGCCAAGGATTCAGGATTGAGTCCTTAACCTCTGCAGCTATGCAACATTGAGCTTGCGGCATTGATTCTATTGGGCGTGAGCCAGTACTTGCAAGCGGACCATCTCCAGACACAAGACACCGCTACGAGCATCAGCATGATGAACGAGTTGGGTGGAGGTTCTTTGGAAGCAGAAGCTTGATCATATACCAAGCACGAGGCCGAACAGAGGCACGAAACGCCTGTCAATGAGTGCATGCATGCGGCAGGGCGATCAGAACCCTCAACCCTGCCCTGACTTTTGCACCGTGCCGGCTTGCGGCTCCTAAGCCTAAGGTTTTCAACCACCAGGGTCTCTGTGCAGTGGCTGTAGCACTGGGGTAGGGCTTGGGGGTTTCAGGTTTATGGCTGAGGGCCTTCTAAAATCCTAAACCCCGAACCACATCAGGATTCAGGCACCAAAAGTCCTGCCGTCTTTGATCACAACAATGAAAATCAGCAGGAGGGAACCCGGAGCATGTGGTAGAAATTATTGGCAGCCGCAGTGCCACCGTGTCCCTGCCCCTTGCCCCTGCTGGCAGGTCCTGCCAGCAAGCCAGGTTCCAGTATGCGGAATCGGCAGGGAGCCAAGACTCCAACAGCCAACCTGCCTTACTGTACATGCCACAACGATTCTTGCAAACCATCTCGACACGGGACTTCGGGGTCTTTGACGTCCAGAGACTAGCCACATATCCTGCGTGATTTTGCGCCTTTTGATGAGGGATAGTGCCGGGTACTGTGTGATTTGTGGCAGTAGTAGCCTCTGGTGACGATTGAAGCTGGTCGGAGCAACTTCCGACGGTACAGCAGATCCGTAGATACAGATGCTGTTCCCTAGATATAGCCATATAGCCAAGTGGTGTGGCCACATCTCATCGTAGGGTCTTCAGCGGCTGCTTCGACAGACAGCCAAGTGGTGCGAAACTCTGGTGCCAGGAAGAAAAGGTGATGATCATCTACAGTAGCAGGCGCGGCTGGGAGTGACGGTTCAATTAAACCAGCAAAGCCAGAAAGCATGCGCACAGCAGTAAAGTAGGCCTGATTCCCTTGATTGCAGGACTGGTTTTGAAGGGCTGGAAAAGTCCGCATGCCAAAATCTTTCAGCCTGCAAGAGTGCAGGTTGTGTACATGTGGTGTGTGCGTGCGTGGCATTGTCGTGCAATATGTGGAAATGCGTATGTGTGAATGCGGGTTTTGTTGAAGGCCGCCACTTATGCAGCGATGCCAAGGCTGCCGTCCCATGAGTCCCATGAGTTCAGATCATGAAGTGACCGCATGTCGCACGATGGTGGCTACTTCTGATTACATTAATTACTGTTGTTTTCTCCATACATGGGTGCTGGTAACCGTGGAATGTCGGATCTTGGCAATTTCCTTGGAAAGCGATCGGACCCTCCCAAAATCGATCCGATTGACGAAGATCATTTGTTGTGACATTTCCGTGCAGCCGCGGCATTTGTGCCTAAGTTTTCCGTGTGATATATGGCTAGGCAATCGATACCCTAATCGATACCCCATCGATACCCTAATCTAAGCCTACCAGATTGTTTTACGAGCCACTGCCCCATGCAGCAAAGGGCAGTGAAGGCAAAGGCAGTAAAGAGCAGTAAAGGGTAGTAAAGAGGAGTAAAGGGCAGGTAAAGGGCAGCAAAAGACAGTAAAGAGCAGCAAAGGGCAGCAGAGGGCAGGAAGGGGCAGGGCAGCCTACGAGCAGGGTCAGTGAGTCTGCTGGTCTTCTTACGCTCACAAGAGCAAAGCGATACCCCGCAGAAACATCTGACGGAATCCTTGTAAAGCGATAGGAACCCCCAAATCATCCATGGTCTAGCCATGAACAAGAATGTTTGACATCCACTCATATGCATATTTGTCATCATGTATATCTGAGTACATGCATTCATACATAAGTATATGTACATGTACTACAGTAAATATACATACGCAGGCATGTATTGAAATGCCTATCTATCTATCTACCTATCTATCTATACATACACGTGGGCGACCCTCCCTTCAACAGCCCTGTTGTGTGCAAGAGCAGTCAATGCCTAGGTAATTCTCCATCTGCCGGAGAACTTTTGTCTCTTTAGTATAGGCCTGGAGGGAGAGTCCATATCGGGTCTGCACTTCGCATAGGCCCTCGGCAGGGCGTAGCGACTGCGTAGGATGCGGCAGCCTCAAGTCTTTTTCGTGTCGTAGACACCGCCCATACAACTCATACAAAGTGTCCATACAATTGATTTGCTCACTGTACGAAGGCATCAAACAATGGCTTCGGCACTAGAAGACGGAACCGCATATAGGCTTGCGCGTAACATAGTTCGAGACATGTTTTGATAGGAGGTTTCCCCAATGTCCAGCGGTACAACCTGCGGCAGCGCGTAGCCCTGCGCAGGCTCGACAAGGATGAGAACAGCCCACACAACAACAAACACATCACATGTGTGTCCACACGTATGCAAGCTGCTGATCAGGATCTCTCGCTCGAGCCAAAGCTGCCGGCGAAAGCGCTTCGGTTGACAGCCGATCATTGCAAAAAAAAGCTGGCTGTCTTCACTCCTTGATTCAAGGTGTAATGATGGTCACATTTGCGTAGGCGAATCATTACCAACTCCCTTCGAGAGTGTAAGGGACTTTCGAGACAGTTTTACGCCATTCGCAGACCGGTGCTGCATGCACAGGTCCAAGGATGCACGCGGTCAGGAATGTGCTTGCTGCTTGCTGGCTTGCCGGGTCGGTGCTACCAACTCATTCAGCAGCACTGAACGCTATGCCAGTCACCACCGCCCTCGCCAACATCCACATCAGCATAAGCATCAGCACCAGCATCGTCACCATCAGCGCCATCACCATGCGGTAGTAGTAGTGTAGTAGTAGTAGTAGTAGTAGTAGTAGTAGTAGTAGTAGTAGTAGTAGTAGTAGTAGCAGTAGTAGCAGTAGTAGTAGTAGTAGCAGCAGCAGTGGCAGTCGCAGTGGCAGCAGCAGTAGTACTAGTAGGAGCGGGAGTAGGAGTAGGAGTAAAGAAGTAGTGGTAGCAGCAGCAGCAGCGGCAGCAGGAGGAGGAGGAGGAGTAGTAGCAGGAGTAGTAGTAGTAGTAGTAGTAGTAGTAGTAGTAGTAGTAGTAGTAGTAGTAGTAGTAGTAGTCGTAGCAGCAGTAGTAGTAGTAGTAGTACTACTACTACTACTACTACTACTACTACTACTACTACTACTGCTACGACAAGTAGGAGTAGGATGAGGACTACAAATACGAGTAGTAGTAGTAGTAGTAGTAGCAGTAGTAGTAGCAGCAGTAGTAGCAGCAGTAGCAGTAGCAGCAGGAGGAGTAGTAGTAGTAGTAGTAGTAGTAGTAGTAGTAGTAGGGGTAGTGGTAGTGGTAGTGGTAGTGGTAGTGGTAGTAGTAGTAGTAGTAGTAGCAGCAGTAGTAGTAGTAGTAGTAGTCAGTAGTCGTGGTAGCAGTAGTAGTAGTCGTCGTCGTCGTAGTAGTAGTAGTAGTAGTCGTGGTAGCAGCAGTAGCACTAGCAGTGGTAGTAGCAGCAGTAGACTAGACTAGACTTATTCTGACGACGACTACTACTGCTGCTACACTGCCACTGCTTCTGCTCCTGCCGCTGCCACTGCCACTGCCATTGCTACTGTTACTGCTTCCACTACTAAACTACTCCTCCTGCTGCTGCAACTCACGCATGCACAGGACATCTGCAGTGAGGTCTCCCAACGGGAGCAGCGCCCTCTCATGGATCGTCAGGCCCGTACCTGAGGTAGTTGTCTTGTGTAACTAGCATTCATCTCAGGAGTGATCCTGAAGAGGGTGTGGGACGCCAGAGCAAGAAACACCGTGGCTGAAGGAGGGTAACGCAATGCCGAAGCAATGGCGGCGAGGCATCGGGAAACTTTCGAAGACGCACATCAAGTCACTTTGTGCAAGGGCCCTAGAAGAAGCCCAAAGCCGAACGAGCCAAACAGCCGAATTGTCGAACCCACAGAAAGCCCCCGGTTTGGCTTCGTCCAGGAAACGACGAATGCTGCAGCAACGGCTACACGGCTGTCTACTGTCTTCGCTATTCATTGTCGCGCAAAATACCTGTCGCGCATGAACCGATGAGACAGAGAACTGTTCCTCCCCTTGCACAGGAATCCGTTCATATATGACGCGCCAGTTGACTGTGCCGGTAAATGGTGTCATCTTGATGAGGATGTTGTGGGTGGATTCAGATCGGAGCCCCACCGATCTGTTAGGAATTTAGCTTCGATCCCCAGACAGCGACGCAGCAGACGATAAGTTGGAATTCAGTACTCGGAACTCCACCTGTCGGCCGGCGAGCAAGAGCGCGTTTGCACGACCGACAAAAGCGCAACCGAACACCCGAAGATTGCCGTGTTTCTTTGAGGCCCAAGCGAGCCTCGACTTTTGAAGGCACTCGCTGAGCAAAAAAATCACACAAGGGGTTTGGGTTTGGTTTGCGGACCAACGAAGCAATCTAAAGCTGGAGAGTTCGTCCGGAAAAATGCGAATAATACGCGACTGATACCCCGCGTGGTGCGGTCTGTGTGGCTATCGCTGCCAGCTCCAATTCCCAGAACGAGCTTTTCATCATGTGCAGTTTTCTACGTTACCACTCGTCATTGCCATTATGGTTTTCGACTGCGACTGTTCACATTTCTCCGACTAGATTGCACTGGCTGATTCTGGGCCATGTTTTGTCGCCCAGATGTCAATAGGTACACGTGCAGCAATGCAGCTCCAGGCTCGAATGCCGCTGAGCGCGCGGCAGAACAAGTCCGACAGCCTGGCGGTCTCCTCTGGCAGTCAGTTCTGTCGGTGAGCGGCTCAACGCGTCGATCGTACTTTAAGCTATCTACACCCGGATGCCAGTCGCCTTAAAATCGTGATCATCATCTTCTTCTTCAGTATCATCATCACCATCATCATCAGAGTCAAAGTCATCATCACCAGTACCGGCTCCACACCGCCGCCGCCACGACAACCACCACCACCACCACCAACAACAACAACATCACCACCAAGCACCACCAACACCATCAAAGCACCGCCACCACCAGCACCACCAAGCACCACCACCAGCGCCGCCGCCACCGCCACCGCCCCCGCCGCCGCCGCCGCCGCCGCCACGACCACCACCACCACCACCACCACCACCACCACCAGCACCACCACCACCACCACCACCACCACCACCACCACCACCACCACCACCACCACCACCACCACCACCACCACCACCACCACCACCACCACCACCACCATACCACCACCACCATACCACCACCAATACCACCACCAATACCACCACCATACCACCACCAATACCACCAATACCACCACCAATACCACCAATACCACCACCAATACCACCAATACCACCACCACCACCACCACCACCACCACCAATACCACCACCACCAATACCACCACCACCACCCCAACCCC